CGTACTCCGCGGCGCGGGTTCTGCAGCTGCAGCGCACAGACGCACGTTAGAATTGGGGTCGGAATCGAGGCGGAGCCGACCCGACCCGACCCGACATTCACAGAGCGCCTCACCAGTCTCCGCTGAGCTTGCAGGGAGCAGTGAAGGGGTTGGAGTAGACGTACAACGGCCAGCCGTAAGCCGCCGCCGCAAACTGCATGCAGTGAGCCGCTTTCTCCAGCTCCGTCTGCAGATCCTGGTCCTTGGGACAGGAAGAGGCGGTCCACTTTAAAACGCACGCACAGCGATTCGGATTTATGGCTGCAACTGGCCATCAAAACAGATTCATCTATCGGTTCTTCTCAAGTTCAATCGATTAATTGGATGAATAAAATAGCATATGCTACATATTCTACAGAGTTTTCAATTTGCCACTAATTTTTTTTTGTACAATATTAGAAATACATTAAAGGATGCAAATAAACTAATTTAATTCCTTTTTTAGGGAAGAAAATACACACGTTATTGCCCAAAATGCAATACCACAGCATTCCTTTAGTAAATAAGAACTGGGTGAAGCTAATAGCACATCACTACATGAGTTTTACAGAAAACATATTTGCAGACAAAGTTGTTTTTATCTAAAAATCAAAATGTATATATTTCTACAGCTTTGGTTTAATTACTGCTCTGAATATGTTGGGGGGGGGGCGGCGGGGTTTCACCAAGTGACCCGAGTCTGTGCACTCCTCTTATCGATTAATCAATTACTAAATTAAGTTTACTATTCTTTTGATTAATTAATTAATCACAATTAATCAAAAACTAAATTAATTGAGCCTTCTACCAGTAACTGATTAATCCCAATTAATCTGTTATTAAATTGGTTGACCATCGTTTCAAGAATCAATTAATCACGATTAATCAATGACTTCATTAATTGTTGATGACTTGACTAATCGGTTAATCCAATTATTTGATTACAAAATGAGGTGACAATTTTTGATAAGCAATTAATCGCAATTAATCTGAATAATCGATTACTAAATTAGTTGATGATTCTTCCAAAATTGATAAATCCCAATTTACCTACTACTGCTACTACATTAGTTGACAGTTATTTCAATAATCAATTAATCATTATTGACGTGATTAATCGTTGCAGCCCTTTTAGTATCTAATACAAGTTTTACGGAAACCGTGTTACTTACGATAGGGGAGGAGGGGCTGTGGGTGATGATGTCTTCTGGGTCTCTGCTGCGCTCCATCTTGTCCTGCTCCTGGTGCAGCAGAGCCAAACCAGCTGCTATGTCACTGGGCACCAGGTCTGTGTCCTGCATCATCATTCCATACAAGACAAAATCTCACACTGCAATCCAGATTATAGATTATTAGTTGATTGAAACTTGTCTCTCACAGAGAAGAAGTTGCTGAGGAGCTGCGAGATGCTGGAGAAAGCCGCCCGGTGGCTCTCGTCCTGCGGCAGGCAGCAGCACAGCAGCCGCAGGCGGCACTCCCACACCTTGGTGGCCAGAGAGCGAGCCGTGGACAGGAACTGGGTGCCCCCACTGCTCTCCATGTCCCGCACCCCCAGCGGCTCGGCGGGGCCCGGCTGAAGGCGGGGGCTGCCCATCGGATCGAAGACGAACACCACACCCAGTCCCGTGAACAGCAGGATGATCCAGCTGGGGGGAAATAAACGAGCCAAAGAACTTGATTTAAAGTATGTCTCTGATGGGGACGAGCTGGAAACGGCATTAAAATATGAAGTGTGACCACAAAGTACATCATCACATCTCATTCCATCCAACGCCAAGTTTCTGACAAGCATATATATTACCTTTTTAAAAAAACGACATGTAAATGCTCCAACCTGGTAATAACAGCAGTGATGACCGCACCCACAGTGGCTGGGTCGCAACCTCGGCTGTCGTCGGACACCCAGACGGCTCCCAGGCAGGCCCACACGAACTCTGGGATGTAGAGCAACGCTCGCAGGTACACCAGGGCCGGCATGGAGCGCCGCGCGCCAGGGTTGGTAATCGTGCCTGAGGGAATAAATCACCAGGTATTACTAATATCCACAACAGACATCATGAACAGGGCATTCATGACACATGATTACAACAGCGCTGACTGGTGGATGTTTCATTAGATGCAGTGCAAGGTGGATGTTATAGTTGTTACAAAATCTCTTCGAAATTGCCAGCGTTTCATCACAGATAAGGACAAAATGTTTGCCGCTTACTTCCTGCATTACACGATTATGCAAGATGACCGTCCCAGCGCGACCTGAAGTTGATGCTTTATGACAAGAATCATAATGACAAGGTTGTAGAGATGAAGATCTGGATGCACCAAAACGGCTCCCCAACATTTGTAGCCGAGAAATACATGAACCGACAGCGTCTACCTTAAATAGGCCTGTCAGAATGAGACAATTAATCGCACTGTCGATTAAAACAAACTCAGTCATTTCCACCAGCGTGATTTCTGTTTTGTCTCTCTTTTTGCCAAAAACTCAACGACAAAAGTCTCGAGTCTGGCGCTTTTGTCTCAGACAGCCATTGTTCTGAAGGACAATTTTGTTTACATGTACTTTATAATTCTTAACTACAAATGCAGACTTGTGTGTACCATGACTTTGTATTTTTGTGTTTGTATGACGGAAAGCACTTTGAACCGCCATTTGGCTGCAGCGCACTATGAAAATAAACTTGGTTTTGTTCGTTTATTTTGGACATTTAAAATGTCTCCCATTGTCACGAACGATACTATCGTTTATGGCAATGACGATAACCAACATCGGTTATCGTCATTGCAATAATTTGCGATAATTTTGTCCCACAAAATAAAATTATCGCCCAGCAAAATGTGTTCTTCTGTTTACTTACCTTGGGCACTGACATAGACGATGGCCCACAGTGACAGGACGATGAGCCCCAGCACGACCAGGAGCCCAACCAGGTAGGTGTGCAGAACCCCTCCCCCGTTACAATCGAAGTGGCCCTTATGATAGGCGAACAAGAGCAAGGTGCCGATCCACCTGAGGAGCAACAGCATCGAACAATCGGAACTCTCGCACAGTAATGTGTGAAAACGTGCACGAGGAGCAGCAACATACCAGAGCACGCGGAGCAGCAGCTCAAAGGAGCCGGGGAAGACGAGATCATCGCTGGCGATCCCCCAGCGCCTCCCGAACACCACTATTCCAGGCATTTTGTAAACAAGCTGATGTCCCTCTCTACTGCTGCTAACTGCTAACCGAACCTGCTAGCCGCTGTTATACCAGGACCAAGAGCCTCTTGAGCAACACACGGAGGCACGTCAGGCATGACTTCATCTGCTCGGGCAGGGATCTGATCTTCGCCCTATTTCCCGTCACATCAGACTTCCTCGATAGTGAAATCCCCCGCACCTCATTTCTGCCTCACATGGGTTAGCCGCTAGCTAGCGCTGAAAACTCTCCCTTGCCAGAGTTCGGAGCTGGCAAGAAAAGGGAAAAAAACAGGGCCGTCGACGACTGATATGTGTGGTCTTAGTACCGAGAGCACAACGCTTCAATGCGCAGCTGGACCCAGCAAAAGCAACCCGTCGAAAACGGATGTGGCCGCGGTCATGTTTAGCTGCTAACCTTAGAGCTACCTTTGCTAAAATTACCTTAGAGGTATTGCGAAAAAGAAAAGAGTTAGAAGCTTACAAAACGACTCTTAGCTAGTTGTACCAGTACAATACTCGGAAATACAGCACAGCTATGTGTGTGTTATGAAATGTATTGATATACACGGGAAAAGCGCAGATCTTCTGTTTTGTTTTCCTTCCTTTGGATACTTATTGGGTCCGCCCCATTTGTCACCCGCTATGCTGTGTGCGCCGGCGAGGCGTGGTTTGAATCGTCGCATCGAGTGGAGGCGGGCGTTCACTTCTACATGTGGCTGATGTGATGATAGCAGACATTTTGGTAGCGAGTATAAATGTCCCTTTTCAAATCATCAGTGAAGTCTATGTGAGGGTGTAATTTTGTCAGCAGGTAAGGAATTGGGTGCACCAGTGAGAATGAGGCTTGCCTTTTATCAAATCCACACATGAAAGAGGCGGGGCTTCTTCAACCGGTTGACTGGTGGAAATATAAGAGAAAAATACTTTGTAATTAGTCACCTAAATTAATATGCTTGATTGGGCCATTAAATACATCCCGTACTTCTACAACAAAAACATTTTGCAATGGACAAAAATAATTCCGCCCACTCCCGTTATTCATCATTACCCGGGTCATTCGCCGGCTGACTGCCAAGGAACGCATCTGTTTCCATCCCTAATTGTTCTCGGACCGCAGTCGGAACCATACAACAATGATTCCGATTTGTTGCCAAAATGAGCAGTTCTGCAAAGGAAGAGCCTCTCGTTTAAAGAATTTTCTTTTGAGGTACCACAAACATTTTGAGCAGGAGCGGCGTCGTTAAACATATCAATCAGACAGTAACAACTGTTTAATATAATAAAAACAGAAGCTGTCTTGACGAGAGTGTCAATGTGTAACAATAAAATATGTCAATGTCTGAAATACGGTCAGGCTTGTGTTGGTAAAGGTATTTTCCGACCTGTTCCTCATATGGTTCCATGGTGTAATGGTTAGCACTCTGGACTCTGAATCCAGCGATCCGAGTTCAAATCTCGGTGGAACCTGTCTTTTGTCGTCAAGCTCATTTATTTGTATCCCCGACTACTCTATTGGCTGCAAAAGCCATCGCAGGATGGTAAAAATAAAAACACAAACTCAAGTCGGAAATCAAAACTTTGCTGGGTGAAGATTGCGCATTTCCCACAGTGGCGCTGGAGGGCACGTGTTTCCGGTGGCGTTTCCCCGTTACGTACAGCGGCCTGGGTTCTTATTTGCACAAAGTAAACACGCTGTCAGTCAGCTGCCAGCGGCCCGGAGTGTGTACCCGGCGTGAGCTGGAGCAGCGGTTCGATTGCCTGGGTAAGAAAGTCTCTGGCAGGTCTAGCTAGATTGTGGTGCAACGAAAACGTTCTCGAATGCACCCAAACAAGGCGTCGAAAATGGCGTGTGGGGTGAAGAGAAGATCTGGAGAATACTCCAGACTGTTGTTATTATTTACGGTGGCGGATCCGCAGTAGACCATAGTGAAATTGAAAAAAACGCGTTTAAAATGATACCATAGAGACTAATACTAGTGTTGAAAATGCTAAATATTCAACACGGTGATTTTTGGAACATGAGAAATGTTGAAACCAGACCACCAGTGTTGCATTTTGCTTTTCTTTCCATGAGGAAAATATGTTACACTATTTAATTAAAGTTTAATAAAAACATATGGTTGCTTAATACAGGCTTGCAATTATGAATGCACTGTAGTAATAGATGTGGATATAATGAGACTGTTAAAATCAAGTCAACACGAACTTCTCTCCAGCAGGTGGCGGTATTCTCCTTCAATTACAGTTTCCCAGTAAACCAAGAATCTAGTTTTTTTTAATTGACAGCAGTTTTCTTTTGTTTGTTTTTTTAGGGGGTTGGGAGGGTACAAAACGACGCGAAGTTGCACCAAACTCGTTAAATATGAGCTTACTAGCTCAACTGGATAGTTAATACATTAAAAAGTGACCGCCTCTTAATTTTTATAAATACTTTGAGTCAGCAGGGGGCGGTGTTGCACTTCGCCGGTGCCACAAAACACCAGAGGAAGAGCGTAGCCTTTCAGGGCCAACATGGCGGCCTGCATTATTCGCCGCTTATGTTCACTTTGCGGTAGTGGGGTCGTAAATGGGAGACCTCCGCTCGGCAACCTCGGCTGTATTAGCTTCAAATTAACCAGCAGCACTTTGTCAAAGCTTTATTATGGGACTGGAGGGCCTGACTCTTCAGAGGTACGGAAAATAAAGAACAGCCTTCGTTTATATATTATATAGTTATGACTGTACTACCTTTAATAGTGTAATATGTTCGTCAGAAAAATGGTGATATGTACAAAGCGATTCCCTTCAACTGGAAGCTATTGTGTTATATTATATGCCTATATATATATATATATATATATATATATATATATATATATATATATATATATATATATATATATATATATATATATATATATATATATATATATATATATATTGACTGTTTTGTCTTCAACAGGACTCGCACGTGCACATTCCAGTAGGTAAATGAACCTATGAATCAAACAAGAAAAAGAAAAGTCTGATTGACTTTTTATTTTATTTTTATTTATTTATGTCCTCTCCCTTATTGGGTCATAGAGCGTCTGACTGTGTCCTATAGCAAGAGCAGCGGCCCTGGAGGTCAACACGTTAACAAAGGTAAATAAATGCTGGCTTTAAAGAAATTTTTGTACAGAACTTTGCAAAAAAAAAGAAAAAAAAAGTACACTTCTTGAATTGACCATTTTAGGGACATAAGCACTAACGCAAGACTCCGCTATTCGGCCTAAGGTTAATCTAGAAGTGTTGTTTGAGTGTTTTTTGTTTTCTTTCTAAAGTTATGACCTTAATCCGCAGTGAGCACTAAAGCAGAGGTCCGATTTCACGTGCAGACAGCCGACTGGATCCCCAAAGACGTTCGACAGAAAATCATAGAAAAGGTCCGTTACGCGGCGTGCCTTTTTGTACATCCAGAGAATCACGCACGTTACAGCTGATTGTCTACTTTTTCTTTCCTCCACAGAACAAAAACCGCGTCAATAAGGCCGGGGAGCTCCTGGTGACCTCGGAGGTGAGCAGGAGTCAGCAGAGAAACCTCTCCGACTGTCTGCAGAAGATCTCCACCATCGTAGCCGAGGCCAGCGAGAGACCTCGCGAACCATCAGACGAAGACGTAGCTCTAAGAGCAGCCAGGTGATGCCCAGTGAAATGAATTGATTTGGGCTTCTGTATATGTTTAAAGTGCAAGTTTGTCACTTTTTTATGTTGCGCAGGATCAGGAAGAGGAACAAAGAGCAACTCAGACAGAAGAAAATCCTTTCATCGGTCAAGAACAGCCGACGAGTGGATTTCGACTGACGGTGCAATATTGAGCGATCGTGCTGTAATTCACAGTCATTGGCCACTTTGTGTTGTGCATGTAAGGCACCTAGATGTGAAAAGGAAACGCATAGAAGTTCACACCAGGCATCAGAATGGGGAAGAACGGGGATTTAAGTGACTTTGACCGTGGCAGGATTGTCGGCGCCAGACGTACCGGTCTCAGTATTTCAGAAACCGCCGAGTTGCTGGGCTTTTCACGCACAACCATCTCCCGGGTTTACAGAGAGTGGACCGACAAGAGGAAGATGTCCAGCACGCGGCAGTCTTGCGGGCGGAAATGCCTCGTCGACGTCAGGGGCCAGATGAAAATGGACCGACTCATTCGAGACGACAGAAAGGCGACGGTAGCTCAGATAACGACCCGCTACAACGAAGGCGTGCAGAATACCATCTCTGAACGCACGGCGCGCCGAACGTTGAAGCAAATGGGCTACAGCAACAGGAGACTGCACCAGGGGCCAGTCCTGACGGCAAAGAACAAGAAGATACGGCTACAGTTCGCACAGGCTCACCAGAAGTGGACAGTAACAGATTGGAAAAACGTTGCCTGGTCCAGCGAGACTCGATTTCAGCTGCAGCAGTCGGACGGTCTGATCAAAATTTGGCATGAGCAACAAGAAAGCCCAGATCCGTCCGTTCAGCAGCCTGAAGCGGGATCGCCGGTTCAGGCTGCTGGTGGTGTAATGGTGTGGGCGATGTTTTCTTGGCACAAATTGGGTCCTTTAGTGCCAATTGAGCATAGTTTAAACGCAGCAGACTACCTCCGTCTTGTTGAAGACCATGTCCGACCCTTTATGACCGCGGTGTACCCGTCTGCCGATGGCTACTTCCAGCAGGGGAACGCGCCCCATCATGACGCCAAAGTCACCTCAAGCTGGTTTCTTGAGCATAAAAGCGAGTTCGGCGTATTCCAGTTGCCTCCGCTGTCGACAGACATCAATCCAATAGAGCATCTGTGGGATGCGGTGGAACGAGAGATTCGCATCATGGATGTTCTGCCGACCGATCTGCAGCAGCTGAGTGACGCCATCGCGCATGTGTGGAGCAAAATCCCCGAAGAATGTTTCAAACACGCTGTTGAGTCTGTGACACAGAGGATTGACGCGGTTCTGAAGGCGAACGGGGGTCCAACTAGGTACTAATGATTTTCTGAATAAACATTTGACATAAAACTTTTTGTTGTTTTTTTATTTAACGTAGGATTGTGCTACTGTAATAAAATATTTATTTATGTATTTGAAGGCTTTTCATCTTTGCCACTGGTGATAATATATTAAGCAGGTAACTGGCCATTTATTGGCTTCTTACTCTACGTTGGTTATCTACTAAAATAACCAACAGAGAATGATGTCGAAAGCGCAACATCTGATTTTTCATGTGTATTACTTCCTCTGAAGGCTTGTCACACTCCCTTACTCTTGATTAAATGTTAATTTTATTGATAGAATAAACCCTAATTCTGACACAAATACACATTCTCTGTAGCGTCTTTGATTGTACTATTGAAGAGTACATATTTCTTTATCTTGAGATAGATCAGCTGCTGCAATGACAATGAAATGCCAGATTTTGCCTTTAGATAAATAGCAATAGTTTTCCTCATTAAGTGATAATGCTACATATCAGCAGTTTTTTTGTTTGTTTTTGTTACCCTGTAGTTTATATCATGATTATTCTGTTAGAGTTTGTTTTCAAATGTACGTATTCAATGACAGGAAGTTAAATTTTGTATGAGTCATGAAATACAGGCACATACAGATGCTTCGTCAATGCGATCATGTATATTAGAGATGGTCAATGTTAATATGAGAAAACTGAAAAAATAAGTAGCGCATATAAGTATTAATGTCCTTGTATAAAAGCGGAAAACGAAACTCCCATAGCAGAGGATGGTTTCGATCCATCGACCTCTGGGTTATGGGCCCAGCACGCTTCCGCTGCGCCACTCTGCTTGGACGTGGGGAAGATCCGGTGTGACTGTACTTAAACGGTAGAAAGCGGACATTGTCGTCCACGTTGAGTGGTTTGTGTATAATTGGATATATTTCGTCATATTGTGTATACGTATGTGAAGCTTTTGTTTATTCAGATTAGTGTATATCCATATTGTTTGTTTGGTTTGTTTTTTTTATACACTCCTCAATAACACGGCACACCAGAAAACACAGTTTACTTGTTAAAAACTAGCAGCATTAACTCTTCATCTTCTTCTTACGGAATCGTTCGCTGTGGACCTTTGATGAAGCGGATGACTACATGACCGGAAGAGGTGAATATTCGCAAAAGACGACCACGAAGGGACTCGAACCCTCAATCTTCTGATCCGAAGTCAGACGCCTTATCCATTAGGCCACGCGGTCTGTGTATTCACGCTAGCACGGGTTTCACTAGAGATAGTGGACATGGAGGCGTTCACGGACGATAGACTGTGTTTCGCGATTTTTGCATCATTTTGAAGATATTTTGAGTTGTGTCCATTTACGTGAAATATTGAAATGTCTTAATTTAATGTCTAGATTTGTTTTTGTACACAAAACACACAAAACGACAAATGCATTTGCCTGGTTCTTTATTAATAGATGTTTCATCATGATATGAAGTAAAAATGAGTTCATCTAAACACTGGCGGCAATACAACGGAATACTGCAAATCTTTAAAACAAGGTAGTAAAATACGAAGGCAAAAGTAAAGAAATAGTTTGACGTCATAGACAGTTACACATAGGCAAACAGGATTTTTGTCAGAACTTTGTCAATTCCACTTGCTGCCCTTCAGTCATGTTTAGCTCTAATTGTGCTAAAAGTCACAACATTGTGTCAGTAAACTCGTAAGACTGCAAACTCATCGTGATTATCATCCAGTCTTTGAAGCCTAACAGACCAGTGAGTCTAGAACAGTTTCAGGCATGGTTATGTTGACAGTGTATGTGAGGAGTTGGATTCAAAAATGTTAGTTAGAACAACATTCCTTATAACAAAGCTGTATATATTTACATGTATATATAGAAGGTTACCAGAAAAAGAGGCATTGCAGATTGCGTAAGAGGTGCAAGGTGTTGCAGGTCATCATAATAAGAGTTTGGTAAGACTGCTGGGTGTTAGATAGAACCCTGGTTTATTATACGTCAGCTACACAGTGTGTCTGGCAAGAGTCTTTGATTGGAGAGAAAAAAACTCTGGTACTTTTGTTGTATTGAAAATAAAAATCTCTACAGTATGTCTGCAGAGATTCAAAAGTGCTGCTGCAGGGCACAGCCAGCAGGCAGCGTTGGGGAACGTTAAAGAAGCGCAAACTGTGGCTCAACATTAAACTTTCCATCTAATTTACTGATTTCACATGGTTCCGCATTAGTAGTGTCGAGGGCAAGAGTTTGTAGCAGTGAGAAAAAGCCTTGCAACACCAGTTCATGCAAGATTACTCAATTTGTTTTGTTGTTTTCCCCAACACATTTTTATGTTACAATTACCGATTACAGAAAACTGTCAAAATTTTTTTTTTCTACTGTTATAACATTCTGGACATTTGAGAACAAAACATTCAGCTTAAAATAGCCTTGAGTGGCGAAAAAAATTTGGATTTTCTGTTTCAGTGCGTTTTTAACATCTGCATTAACTTAGACCAGATTAATTTCAAAATCTTTTATTCTTCTACTTGCCATATGACACAGAAATATCATATAACACACGAAAGTTAGATGAACAATTAGTGAACAATATTTCACTTGGAAGTAAAGTCCCAGAATAGCATTTTTATCTCTTTGTTTATGATCTAATTAAAAGATAATAGTGAGTAGGTTGAGAATCAACACCTATAAATGGATAAAATGCCAAAATGTCAATGCGATGTGGCGAATCACAAGGCAGATTGTTTATGACTCCAGTTGCATTGCATTCAGTCATCATGACTTGTTTTGGGTTTTTTTTTTTTGGGGGGGGGAATAATAACACCCAAAATATCAAAACATTTTTTGAAAAATAGGAAAAAAAAAAAAAAAAAAAGTTCCATACCCCAAATTTTTCCTAAATTTTTAAGACTGTGAAAAAAACTCTACTTAAAATTTGTAATAAAAAACAAACAAAACAAAAAAAAACAGGTTTTCCAAAGCACCACCATGTTGACAGATGTTTCAAATGTTATTCAACAAGCCTATGCCTTTTCGGTTTATGTAAAAATAAAAATTGTTTATTTCTTAGCACTGTATGTTTGTTTGAAGTATGTTAGGTGTAACATTCATTCTGAGAAATTTTATTTTATAAATTTGAAGCTGTAAAAAAATAACACAAAGCTTCATAGAAGTAAGAATTATCTAAGGCGGGGGGGGGGGGGAACAGTATCACCAACTGTGACCTTAAAAATCCAATATGGCTGCGCTTGATTAAAAAAATAAAAAAATTCTTCACTTGCTCTTTTGACCAAGAGTGTCTTATTATACCTTTCACTAACACAAAAAAATCCAGAAAGTCCAAAATGCGATGAAGTGCATAAGTATCAGCTTGTACTGCTAACAGCAGTTAGCATGGTCACTAAGCATCCCACTTAATCAATTGCACATTTTTTTCCAATTTGGAACTGAATCACAGTTAAACTCGGTTCAAAGAATTGAATGCAGCATGAGACTGTCCCAGAACTCAATCTTTGTTCAATTTCCTGTGGCCTGTAAAGTGAAGCCTTTAAAAAGACTTGAACAAATGTTAGCAAAAAAACAAAAACAAAAGTACATCAGTCAAGCTAAACGCATTTTGCATTAGCTTCCCATTGTTGTGTGAGGATCCTATGAAGTAGCATGCTAACAGGAAACATTTGGGAAGATTGGTTGGGCATCTATAGATAAACATCAGCTCAAGGCATAGGTTTTACTGAATTACGCTGCGTTATGGTGATCATTAATGTGATGCGGATGTTAGAACCTTTGCCCAGAAGGGTGGAAAATTAACTTTACAAATTCGTTTAGCTACCACTGACATTAAAACAAGCTAGGCTAACATTAGCTTGTAATCGTTATCAGAAGGTAAAACCATCCTATCTCTGATCTCGGGAGATTAATTAGAATGCTGTGTGAAGCTTACACTTGGTAAGTGGGAGACATCCCACCAATACTGGCCTGCAAATTCCAAAATGACTGCCACAAGTATAAACATAAGAGTTAAGTTGAAGCCACAAACCACTTCCTGCGCTTTGATGGTTTAGATTCCTTTTAACCTTGTGCACATACAGTGCTGTACATATCTCTTTAGTATTTCAATTCGCAAAATGCTGTAAATATATTGTAATCAACGCCTATCAATAGGAATTTGTATCGTCATCAATATTACAGTAAGTATTCTGGTCACGGAGCTCAAAAACTGGCAACTAATAACTGAACTGAATTCTTATCCTGACCCGAGTCAAAGTTCTGACTTCTGAGGCAAATGGAAATATTTACTGAGGGAACGAAAATGAGCATAGAACTGTGAAGGGAACATTTGACTGAGTTGAGAACGTTTTGCAGCTGTCTGTCCCTGAGCATGGCGACGAGAGCAGAAATCAGTTCATGTCCGCCGCGGAATAAGAAACACCCATATCACGATGACTGTATATCGCAGCCAGACAGTCCCTTCCTTCACTCAAATGTGGTTTTATATGTCAAAGTGGGAACAAAATGAAGAGAACACTCCTCCCTTAAAAGCAAAACACAAAATAGCTCATCTTCACTGTAATTCAGACAAAGACATATGCAGGAGTTAAGACACAGGTACAGAGGCAGGTAAGAGTTTGCCCAAAAGCAGCGACCCAAAAGTCAGGGCCAAATAGAGTAATCACATCTTTATCTAAGCTTAGCTCAAAAAGCTCTTTTAGCAGTGCTGACAGAATTAGCGTAGCATTTTGTGACGAGCGCCTCCAGGTCAAAAACACAGGCAGCACAGTGGTTTGAAATGCCCCGGCTCGCAAAAGCATTCTTTGCCGCATTTAACTGGGATTTTGTAAGATAAATCTAGACAAAGACGCATATGATTGTGAAGCAGACACACAAAAAAAAAGAAAATGTTTTTTAATTTTCAAAAAAAGTCTGAATCTTGAAGCTGATTCTCTGAACGGATGTCAGGTCAGCAGTCAGATTCTGCCTTTAAAAACCGTAGGAAGGAAACTGTGATTATTTTCACAATAATGATCCACATCGTTTTGGTCTATTGCATAAAATCCTAATAAAATACAATTATGGTTGAAATACTTTCAAGTTTTGCCACATAAAAGGGTTTTGTAAGTAAAATCAACATTTCTAACAGGAAATACAGAAATATGAGTCAAGCATGTTTAGTAGTAAACAGGTTTCTTTTGAGTTAATGTTACGTTTGCTTTCGACCGCTCAATTTGTCTTATTTGATTTAAATCTGAACCTAAAGTGTAAAACTGAAACATTTTGCCACCTATGGAATTATAACTGTAATATTGTAAGCAAGAGTCAAATTAGCCAACAAATCTTGTTGTTTTGCCTGTACTTTCCATTAAAAGTACAGAAGAATAAAATGTAACAGATTCAATCCATTTTCTGGAAGCTTCACTAGTGGAAGGCATGCACTTCAGATCTGGTTGATTTTCTGCTGGGGTTAGCTTAGCTGAGCTCTGGAAGAAATTAATACGTTAGTTGTAGTAGCAGCGCCTTCTATAAGATAGCATACTCTAGGCTAGCCCCTTGTTCAAAGAGCACCAACATCTGTACAGTCGATGTCGACTTTAGTGTTTACTCGATTTGCCTGATTTGCCTGATTTGCTCGTTTTGGCGGCTTTGGTAGTTTTGATGTCCATTTTGGTCTTTTGGATGCGCGAGAAGATCTCCTTAAAAAGAGCTTTGTACTCCGGAGTGTTCTGCCCCAGCCGCTTATCCACCGCCTCCACCTGCCTGCTGATGCTCTCCATGGCTTCCGGAGTGGAGGGGGACTGGGTGGGTGTCGGGGGAGGCGCTGGGACGGGGCCCACGGCGCAGTCTTTCATGGACGGGTCGCGGGAGACGGGACGGGATGTCTGGACGCCCGCGTGGCAAAGGCTCTCCTCGTGCCGCCTGCACTTCCCCAGCAGCTCCTCGTATTTCTCCAGCAGGGCGTGGTACTGCTCGTCCACCTCCCTGAGGATGGACATCCCCCTCTTCCTCACGCTGTTGGCGTGGAGGGCGTAGCTGCCTCTCCTGCGGCCGGACGCGTCCCGCGCCACGATGGCGTTGAGCGCCGTGTCGCTGCAGCTCTTCCTCACCGGGCTGGACTCCGGCAGCTGCTCGCCTCCGACGCCGCCTCCGCCCTCCGTCTCCTCCCGCACGCCGCCGCCGCCGCCTGCGTCGCCCTCCTCCGCTTCCAGGAACGTGTCGGTTTCCGGGGTGATGCTGAGGACGGTCTGGGTCAGGGCGACGCCGTCGTCCTCGCCGCTCAGGAGGAAAGTCCGCGCGCGGCGTAGCTGCTGCAGCTCCTGCAGCTCCACCTCCAGCTCCCGTACGCGAGCCTGGCAGCTCTCGGCGTCCTGTCAGGAAGCAAAACAAACCAAAAGGAGAGAGAAAAACGTGAGACACAGAGAGAGAGAGAGAGAGAGAGGAGCCCTGATCAGCTCACCGCTTAGATCTGGCAAAAAAAATTAAATAACATTTTTTCAAAAGCAGGCATTTCTTTGATCCTGGTCCTTTTCTCGTCATTATTTTGCTGACTGTGCTAGTTTGTGGAGCAAAGCACCTTGATTTAAAAAAAGAAAAGAAAAAAAAGCAATCGTTTTGCTTCTCTACCTGCACCCGCGTCTGCAGCCGGGAGAACTCTGCGATCAGGAGGTTGCACTCTTTCTCCACCCCCTCCCTCCGACCCCTCTCAGTCCGGACGGCGGCCCTCAGTGCTGACACCGCCTCCCTCAGGTGCTGATTGTCCTCCTCACGCGGCTGACTTTTGGCTTCCATCGTGAAGCTCTCGGCCCGGCCCACTACAAACTCATCCTCGTACCTGACAGAAAAATCGTCTGAGCTTTACTCTCCCCCCTCCCCTGTACAAAAAATGTTGATTTTTTGTACAGGAAACACCCACCTGGGCGCGGTGCAGAGCTCCCTCAGGCACGGGAACGAGTGGATGGTCTTGCGTCGCTCCCTCTTTTCCCTCCGGACTCGGAGCTGCTCCATGGAGCGGAGCTGCTCCACCTGCGCCGACAGAGCCTCCACCTGGTTCTGCAGACTCTCAATAGTCCCCGTCAAGCTGGCGCAGAAGGAAAAACAAAAAGGGGCGTACAACTTAGGGCTGAAGCGCTTAATCAGATGAATCATTACTGAAATGAAATCATTTAATGAGGATGAAGTGCAAAAACTTTACATTTATTTTAACTGGGGCGACTGCCCTAGCGTGGCAATCTCTCTGTGGAGGGGAAGCCCTGCTTTACGTTTTAAGTGCTAATAAAAAGGAATGAATGAGGGCCGAACGCGAAGCGCTCGTCCTTCACACCTCTCGATCTTTTGCTGCGAGGCTCTGCTGTCCCTGACCAGCGTGTGGTTGGTGCGCTCCAGTTCTCTGGCCGTGCCGTCCAGCTGCTCGTACACCTTGGCGTGTTGCTCGTTCATGTCCCGGAGGACCTCCAGCTGCTTGGTCAGGTACTAGAGAGCCAAACACAAACGCCGACGTGACGGGAACAACAGCAGTGATTTGACCGCACAAAACTGTGGGCACATTTTTTTTTTTTTCATTTCTGAAACGTGAGCCGCGAACATTTAAAAGAAAAAAAAAAAGCACAACTCGGGCACCGCCGGCAACACGGCGGCTCGATGTGATGTGAGCGGATGTGACGTAGGAGCAGGAAAACACTTGCTAATATGCAAGTACCTCTTGGTGAGACTGCGGTGGTTTCATGTGACAGACCAACATTTTTCACTAACAGAAATCTGAAAAGTGTGATCAATCCATTGATCCATCAGATCAATAAATGAATAAACTTGTATCCTCAAAAAAGAAAACACTTGAAGTTCCCATGTCCCATGCTGCTGGATTTATAATGAGCTTAAAATTAGAAACTTGTGCAGGTGGTTGGCTGCACTGGATGTTACTTAGGAGTTTCATACTGAAGTGAACTGATTACAAATATACGCAAACTTTTTTATAAGTACAAAATGAATCATGAGAGGAACATAACTTAACTGTCACAATTACCCGCAACTGTGCGTGAGTTCATCCTGATAAAATACACAGAAATTTAAGGCTGTAATGCCACATATACTTTTCGAGGCGAGAGCCCTCTTGCTTTTTTTACTTGCGTATATTGCTAGTTTTATTGTGCTGAATCCAGCTGGATTGTATATCTTGTTCCTGCCATGAGACGCAAGTAGAAAACCAAAAAAAAGAGGAAAAAAATGGGCTGACGTGTTGATTTCACATGCGTGATGACTGAGCGGGGTGATGCGATCCTTGTTGAGCTTTTTTGACCAATCCTTGGACAGAAAGGTGAGGTTCGTACCTCAATCTCTTGCACTTGTTCCTCATTAGTGATGTACATCTGCTGCAAAGAGTCCTCCAGCTCTTTGTTCCTCTCCAGTAAAGTCTTCCCCAGCTCTGCTGCCAGGTGGAGATCTGAGAAACAAAGGGGATCACTGAATAAAGGAAGCCAGAGTCACAGAAATATGAAAAAAAAAAACAAAAGTGAAGGATGAATGAATGAATTAATATTTATGCCACCAAATGAAAGGCAGAGGAAGATAGATTGTGGGCTATTCTGGAAGCAAAATACTAAATATAGCAGAATAATTTATATCATCGCCGCTAGAGTTAATGGAGCACATTGCGCCATTTTAGTTCGGGATGATCAAACGGGTCGCCACGCCACCTTGGTTCTGCAGCGACACGGCTCAGTTATAGAAGAAAGGCAGAGAGCCAGACCTCTTCCCTACCCGGCGACTAACGCATGAAGGTCAGGCACCGGTGCCAAAATAATCTCTCCCTCTGCTGAGACACAGCGCAGCGAGATGCTGGGGACTCTGGGATGAAGGTTTCGAATAAAAGTGTTCTTTTGGCAGCGTTTCCGTTTGGGCGCACACCGAGCTAACGTCCGTCCAAAGCGAGATGAGTCACTGTCGTCGTTCTCTGTTCTAGCTGCGGTCTGACTCAGCGGATCTGGTGGCCCACATTGCCGGGCGTCAGCAGGATGCGGACTGCAGCATCTCTGGAAGAAGAAGATGGGTGGGGGAAGCAGTAACCCCACTAACTTCTCCAATAACTAGTCTGCCTGACATATTGAAATACATTGATACATATCGTGTGCCCAGAATGCATCACTGTTGTCCAGACAATGAAAGAAACGGAAAAGAACTCAGAAAATCCTCAATGCAATATTTGGCAACAGTTTCGCGTTTACTTGATGTTGTTGGAGAAACACAAGTCTTCGACTGTGATCAACTTCGTTTCACATCCAGTACCGCCTCCATCGACTGGAACAAAAGAAACAACACATACTAAATTTGTCCTGTCTTCAATTGCCTCAAGCTGCGATGGAGACGAAATTCACGAAACACTTTGAAACAAAAGCAGCCAGAAGGTTGGTCAGGAGGAGAAGAGACGCAAAAAGAAAGAGAACAAAATGGGCAAGAAAACAACGTTACAAATCAATCTCTGTGGCTCGGCACTGACCTGAAAGTGACCCACGCAGGACGATGTCACGCAGGGTGGAGACCCTTTCGTTTTTACGCAACGCGTGAAGACCGGAGACCCTCCCTCGGATGAGCAGAGACCGCCTCTGTGACCTCTAAAAAGTCAGTGGATCCACTTGTGGAGGTGAGCCGTCGGGTTTTACACGTGAACGTCCCGATGTCTTCCACAGCTGCGTTGTCTCGGTAGGTGAAGGTCACTGGTGGGATTCAGTGGAATGTGGAGAACAGGACTTCTCGTGCCTCCATTTTCCTTCGCTACAGACACTGTTCAGAGCAGGCTAAAGTAACTCTGGCTATTTATCAGGCAAAAAGTGTTACAGTGAAAGCGAAGCCAAAACATAATCATTCTCAGTCACCGTGGATTTAGATTGTGGACGAAGGCCTGTCATAATAAGCAATAGATAAATCAGTTGCGTGATAAATTGAATCGAGCATAAAAATTTCCATTTGCACTATTAATAGTTTGCCTCTTTTCTGGAAAAAAATGAAAGTTTTCAGTCTGGTGCATTGTGCTAGCCCTGTGTTCACAGAGACTTCACAAATGATTCGATTCATTTCTGTTGTGTTCAGGTGTTAAACGCTCATTAGTATTTAAAGTCTGTCGACCTTTGAGAACTTGTTCTTGCAGTCTTCTGCTATTACAATTATATTGCTTGAAAATTGTCTCGAAACAACAATATTATTGTTTATTGCTATATCATCTGGGCCGATTTATCGTCCAACAAAGTTTGGGAACAAAAAAAAAAAAAACAACAAAAACTGAATCTGATGAGCCTTGTGTCTGAATAACACTGATGCCAGTCTGCCTGAGCCAAGGTGACACAATGACGGCGGTGTTCCTTACTGACACACTAGCATTTGGGAATGTCACCCGGGATGAGGAGCTGGGGCAGTCAGCACTTTGAAGCCCAGCGTTGCTCCATCACCTCCGACGTCCTCTCTGCTCCCTCTTTGTTTTGTCTTTTTCATCTCAACATTATTAAGTTTTCATTTATTTATCCAGTTCCATTTGGTTCTCTCTTTTTTTAAGCTCCTGTAAATAAACAAAGGCTCCTCGGGTGTCTATTTTTGTGTCTGAAAGCAGTGGGTTTGAAAATCCCAATGCACGAGCGAAGTCCCAACATCAGCACCATTTCAGCCGAGCCACAGAGAGAGAGCGCTGCGATATGATTAGCTGGCACTACAACGGGGGAGACGGAGAGGAAGAGGAGGAGGAAGACAGGAAACGAAATAAGTGGTGCGGAGAAGTTGATGACTCGCCAGTCACTTCGATTAGGTCCTACAAACCATCTGAGCGCGGCTCGGTCTGAGTACAGCAAACTGAATGAACGGTAAGCTTTACAGTCCAACGATACGTATTCTGGACGGATATAATTCAATTAAATTAATGGAATCGAACGTCGTGGGATGGGAGGAGCAGATGGGGCCTTGAATGGAAAGAGGTTTGAACGATTTTAAATTAGGCTCCAACAGCAGGACCTACAGAAAAACCTCTCACCAGCTGCATTTGCATTCACTTGAGTTGAGTAAATTGAAATAACGGAAATAAATTTGCTTACTGGAAAAAACAACAACATGATTTTTTGCACTAGGATAAGGTGGTTCTTCAGAAATAGATGCTTTTTGCACAACTATAATGGAAACATCCTGTCGCGTGATTATCTACTGGCAAAAACCACAAAGAAGATGACGACAGGAAGTGTTTTCCTTCGTGGTTTGTAGTTTGTTTTGTTTCGTTGGGAGCTCAGGGGTTATCTCCACTGTTTAGTCACCGCCTTAAAATAATGACCCACGTAATTTTTTGACAAACATGATTTTGAAAAAAAAAAAAAAAAAAAACTACCACCTATTTCTGCACAAAAGTTGATTTAGGAAAAAGAAAAAAAAAAGACTTAGGCCTTTATTTTATGAAGATATTCCAATCAAAATGGGATGCCTGTGAAATGTTATAAGAAAATATTAGTTGGTATAGTAGGGTTTACAATACTTATGCTAATAGTGATTCTTGTTAAAAAAAATAATAATAAAATATATATATATATTGATAATTCTCTTGCCACTAAATAAATGTAAATATATTAAAGTTTTTAAAGAAATTCTGCAATCGGAATAAAACATCAATTACTTCAATACTTCTTTTATCCATACAGTAAATGTGGCCACCATCCAGCAATATATGTTAAATATTCAAAAATGTTTATCCTTCACAATTATTGTGCCCTTAATAATAATAGTAATAATAATAATGATAATAATAATAATAAAGCATTTCACTGCTATACTTGGACTACTTCAGGTCTGCCTATCAACCACATGTCTCCATGTTATTGATTCCAATAAACATAAATCTCTTAGATTAAAATAAGGCGGCAAAACAAATGTTTTCCGAAATATAACGAAGCTGTCAGGAGTCAATTTTTGAAGTAATGGATGTTAGCTGACTTTAACCCTGTAGTTGTGTCACTTTGCATAGATGCTGACCAAGTGAAGGCCCTTCCTTACTGGCGTGCTGTCAATGCATTGTTGTTAAAGAAGAAGAACAAGAAGAAGGAGGAGGAGGAGGAGAAGAAGAAGCTCATTCAACGTGAATTCCCTGCTAGCGTTAAAGCTCCAAGTGACATCTCTGCCTCGGCCTGTGGGGCTCCACAGAGAGCCTTTGTTCAGCTGCCGGCCAGTGCCAAGCAGCGGCTGAAGGAGGGGATGCTGCGGTCCGTCTGTCGGTCTGTCTTACCCTGCTCCAGGTCTTGCTGGTCATACCACGGCTCTTCTTCTTCGGTGACGAATTCCTCCATTCTCCCCGAGCTGAGCATGGGTGTCCCGCTCCGTCCGAAACAGTGAACGAACAACAGGCCCACGGAAACGAGTCCGTCAACGCCTCTCCTCTCCTGACGGGAACAATAACCCGGTCCAACGCGGAGGAGGAGGAGGAGGAGGAGGCAGAGAGGAGTCTGGGAGCAGAGCAGCGGTGCTTCTCCTTGGAGCTTCTCTCTCTCTCTCTCTCTCTCTGTCTCTCTCTCTCTCTCTCTCCCTCTCTCTCTCTCTCTCTCTCTCTCTCTCTCCCTCTCTCTCTCTCTCTCTCTCTCTCTCTATCCAGTGAGGGAGTGTGGCTTTACGTGTTTCCTCTCTCCTTCCGCTTCTCTGCTGCTCCCTTCAGTCGCATCCCCTCCACACATGAACCCAGCAGCACCGGCTCATCCCGGAGCCCCGGCCAGCCGACACAGCTGCTGCTGCTGGGACGTGGCAGGGATGTTGCGACAGCCCCTTTAAATGCAATTTACTACTAGGAAATTGCTTTAATCTCGACGACAATAAATGCTCATTCTGTGAAAGTGATGTAGAAACCATAGACCGTGTCTTCTATGAATGCAATCAAACCAAAAATACTTTGGAATTGCTTAAAAAGGTGGATAAAATAAAAATAAATAAAAATATTGCACTTCCTGAATCTATTTCTAGCGATGTGGTATCAATTGGAGTGTTATTGGAAAAAAAAAAACACTCCGTTGTGATCTAATATTTTGTTTGGCAAAATTCTTGTTTTAACTTTTTTTTTTTCATCTGAATCTCAATTAAATTTGAAATCTCTGAAACGTATAGAATCGTATGAAAACCTGTCTGAAATATTAATGGAGCTGCCCAACTATGCATATCAATCCTAACATATGTTGCTATTTTAGTTACTGCTTCATTACTATTATTATTATTATTATTATTATTATTACCAATATTACTTTGTATTTCCATTTCGAAATCTGCCCCAATCACGCCTTCTACGGAGTTGCACTGTTGTAATTGCCTTACTTGTTTGTGCTGACTTAGTTTAAAAGAAAGCAAAGGACAAAATCATCTAATGAAGTTTGCAGATGAAACAGCTGCTAAATATTTTGTTTGCGCCGCTGTCGTTTTAAAAGATGTCCATAAATGTTTCCACTGGTCCTCAAAGGTCAAGCGGAGAGTCCACGTTTAAGAACTCAAACAATAAATGGTGCAGCAATTGTTTTAGTTGCGCATCAACGTGGCACAAGTCATTTTGATTGGTTTTGCTTGGTTTTTGTTTACGTGGTGGAAGAGGCAGGCTGATACCTAGTGACCAAGCAAGCGCCTTCAGAAACAGTGGATTGCCTTTGCTTCAGTGAGGGCGACCTCAGTACATTAGATGAATTACACGTGATTTTAATGCCTTTGCTAGTGCTAGGAGTTTTATGAAGCATCGCTTATGTCTATTTACACTCCTGAAAGCGAAAGCCGTGCAGGTTCCTCGTTGATGGATGCTAATTTGCTGCTGACTGAGCTAACTCCACTGCGGCCTTCTTGCTAACTTTTCCAAACAAGCCAGACTTGTTCAACTATTTCCAGTTTAAATTTAACATCCAAACTGAGATTTATAGAGTGCAAGATGGAGCTCTTTGGGTTTTTAAAAAAATGTTTTAAATTTTTTTTTTTTTGTTTGTTGGCCTGACCTTGACTCCGTACAAGGTCAGATTAAGGAGTGCTTATTTGATCACAACCACGTTTTGGTTCTGATCTGTGGTTTTGAACTCATTGCTTCCACATTTTTTACTTCTCTCTCTCTACCTGTAGGGGAAAACGTGGTTATATGTGTCTCCTCCACATGATAATTTTTAATATTAGTTATTGTTCAATAGATTGTGCGTGTCAGATTACGGTCCGGTCTGCAGTGTTCATATATCACGCCACTAGAGGGCGACTTCCTGATTTAGAACAACACGACTCACATTTCCTGTTTACACGCAGGCTGATCTTCTTTCTACGGAAGAGGATTAGGGCCAATAAACAATAACAACAAAAACCAAAGAGTCAGATTTTTTTCTGTTTTAATAAAATAAAATAAATAAATACAAATTACTAAATTATAAATTCTGATTAATCTAAGAATTTTGCCTTTTTTATAAAAACAAAAAAAACAAAACTGTTTGAATTGCTTTTGCACAGTGAGGCAAATAGAGCCGTCAAACTCAAATCTACCATTTAGACAGGCTTTCAGTGCAGGTTTGCAAATCCAACAACAAGGGGGAAAAAACATGTACTCACAACATATTTCACACACAATAATGTCTGGGTATTTATTTGTATTTTGACGTAAACGAACGCAGAATTAGGATTCTGACTTATTGAATTGTTTTTGGTGGCGCAATCTTGTTCCGCATCATCATGCGCCTGCAAAATGTAACAAAAGTTACAGGTATAAGACTCGTAAATGAAGGATTAAATTGTCAATCTGTGAATCCGCACATTTCCCCAGTTTACAAATGAGCCATTTGTGACTTTATCCACCTTGTTGCCTTCTTTTCAAGGACCGTGGCTGTGTGCAAGCTCCTCTGTCGCAGATAATCACTTGACTGCATGAGCAGTCACCACCTCCAGTTACATCAGACAGGGGAGGTTTGGCCGATGAAGGAGGCGATAGACAAGTTTCTAAAACGGTCATCTGCTCAATGCTTCACACAGCTTCGTTGTACCTAAAAGAGGAAATGATCACCATTTTAAATCCCCAAAGTGAAAGCAGTATGCCTGCTGCATACAGATGTGACCCACAAACAGATGTAAGTGTGGTAAAAAAGAAAAAAAAAAGCCTTTTAGAGGTTGTCATGCGCTTGAATCTGTTCACTTTTTTCACACTGCAACCACAACTCAAAATCTGAAAGGTGTGGCGTGCATTTTATTCAACACGTTTTACTCTAATACCCATGAGTAAAGTCCAGTGCCAACATCTCCCCTTTGAAGACCGCATGCCAAACACAACTGATTATATCCACAGAGAAAAATGGTGGCGGCAGCACTATGCTGTGTGAACGGAGCGAAATAGCCAAACTCTACCAGATTTTACAAAATGATTCAGGCTTTCAGTCTATTGACGCAGCTAAACGTACAGTAGTGATTTAGATTTGAGCTTGATCAAGAGTCACGGTGGCCTAGCCAAAGTCTGCTTGCCTAAATTCAACTGAGAATCTGTGGCACATATAAGCTGTATCTTAAAATCACTGCAGCTATCATCACAGCAAATGGATATTTTTATTTATTTATTTTTTTAACAAAGCTTCAACTCAGGGAGGATGTATACGTGCCACACCTTTCAGATATTTACTCGTGAAAATGTGACAGGAATCTGTGTAACTTTCCTTAAGGCTTTTTCTGAACAATATTTTGTCTTGCGACTGAACTTTGACACGCACAAACAGAACTCCACCCGCCAAGGAGAGGTAGCGATCACGCAGAACCCATCTGTGTTAGAGGAAATAACTTTGCATTTCACGCTGCATTACATTTTCCCTTTGCTGTCACTTCCATCCACTCAGCTGCTGACTCTAACCTTTATTTTGTCTTTTTTTTTTTTTTTTTTACAAACCCGCCTTCCTTTACACGCGGGAAGCGTATACTTCTGCGCAGCTCTTGTTTTTGACTCCATTTTACATTTTGCATATTCTCATTGCAACAGCATGTTGACGCTCTGTCTCTCGTTTTGCAACAAAGTCGAGTTCTGGTTACCATTGTGACAAAGTTCTTTTTCTGTCTGGACAAAGTACTGGTTCGTAAAATAGCGTTTTATTTTGCCGATTTAATCGTAACGCTCTAAATTTGCCAAAACAAAGCTGATCTGTGGTTGACTTGTAAAATCAGCCAAATGAGAATTTTCATCACGGCATCACTAAGTTTGAACAAAAACCCATTGATTCTTTTAGTTAATAAATAAAACTTTTTAGTTTAATTTATTACAATGCATCTGAATTCATTCCAGTGACCTCCAAACGCTCAGAAGGTGACGCCGCTACAAAGTAAGTTGCTGTTTGTGAATTGAACTCTGCTTTGCTGCGTTTGCGAAAGGTTTCGCAAAGTGATCTTTGGTCCATCAGGTATGGATTATCAATCATCTTTGACACAGAGCTTTCTGAGGGAACAGAGATGAGTTTAGGCGCGTCGGTGGTTTGTGTTTTTTAGCTGTGAAACTGCTAAAGATTTTGTTTGTTTGTTTTTGTCCCCCCACCCCTCACTACTGATTACCTAACGCCTCTGGATTGAAGCCAACAACCTTATGAACCCAGCCTCTGGAATACTTCAGGGTCATCCTAGCTTTTGAAGAGGAAACAAAACATGTTGCTAAATTTGTGCCCATGCTGTGTTTTCGAGCATAATCTCTCACTCCTCGCAAGTATTTGACGTTAGCGCACTTCCTTTGCTTTGTTCCGATGGCAACGCCATGGGAAATGAGTAACGGCTATTTGTGGACGAATCAATTCAGCCAAGAATGTTTGAATAATTTTCCACACTCCCACTCAACTGATTCTCGTCAGAGACCCCGGCCGGGTCGGGCCCATTTTTTGTGGAAACAGGCCAGAGCTGACATTTTACGAAATAAACAACACTGAAGCAGCAGACAAAAAAAAAAGAGTCATTTTGTTTGTTTGTTTGGTTTTTTTTGCATTCTGACTTCTGTTAATAAGATTTTCTCGTTTTGTCACATTACATTACGTATTTTATCTATATTTTATGTGATAGGCCAGCACATTGTGAAGTAGGAGGAAAACAAAGGGCTCTCAACTGTTTTTACCAAGAAAAAACTGAACAGTGTGGCATGCAAATATTCTACCCGCGCTTTAAGAAGTGGCTTCTTTTACAAAAATGACCAAAGCTCATTTATATTAAGTGGAAAGATATTTTGTAAAAAGCTGTATCACAGTTTCTCAATTGGATTTGGGTCTGAACTTTGACTAGGACATTCTTTTTTTTTTTTTTTGTCCCAATGCGATAAGCTAAACCAAGGACATGTACAGATAGATGAAATTCTATCTGTACATGTACAGGTCATGTACAGATAGATGAAAATTTTTGCAATCTTTTTTTTTTACAGTGTATTGTGTGTGATCCAAGGTAGCATTTCTGCACATTTCTTTGTAATTTTGTCCAAAAATTACAAAAATGACAAATGTCCAGTGTAAAAGTTGCAGTTTATACTGGGAGCACTGGGAGAAGGCAGAGGAACTAAATTTTTTCACAGTCTTATACTGTCACAACATCATGATTATTTTCACAAACACCTAAAAATAAAAAACACATTTTCTTAATAAAAGTTACATGATGCAGCAGCAACACGCTGCATGACTCCAGTCGTCAGAGGAACGACACAGGAAGCCCGGATGAATCGACATGCAAATGTCAAGGCCAAGAAATGTGCGAGTCAGCTGGCGCGACACCAGATGGAACACACACACACACACACGCACACACACACACACACACACACACACACACACGCACACACACACACAGCGAGATCGGTTCCTTTAGCCAGGATCCCGTCTCCACAGAGACTGAAGACAAACAACAAAAAAAATGGGGCCCTCGCCACAGCTGGTCTGTAGAAACAGACAGGGGGGAGAAAAGCTGTGAATGAGAGTATAGGTGTACACAGACAGAGGGCGAGGAGGAGTGAGAGACGACATAAACACCAGAGAGGGAGAAGAGTCTGGAGGGGCAGAAGAGAAAAGAAAAGAAAAAAAAGAAAAAGGAGGAGTTACACAAAACACTCTGAGGAGGAGGAGAAAGTAAGCGTGGTGAGCTGCTGCAGGAGGAGCAAACAACTCCTGGTCCTCTGAAAGAGTCACATTACCTCTGAACGTCCAGAGCTGAGGCAGCCAAATAGATGAGGGGCTCCAATCTTCTGAAATATTAGAAAACAGCGACGAGACTGACAGGTTGGAAGATGCGATGAGTTTACTTCTACTCTAAAAGAAGAAAAAACAAAAAGGATCCTGCCTCAGATTTGAAGCACAGGTGAGAAAAGTTTTCTTTCTTCGTTTTCTCTCTTTCTCTCTCTCTCTCTCTCTCTCTCTCTTGTGTAAACCTAAAACTTCCCAAAACTATTTCCACACACATTCTCACAATCCCCAGAAGAAAAGGGGGGTTTGTTATACGGGTGGAGTTCACTGTTGGGAGTAACATGGAGCAGTCGCTCCAAAGAAGGTGATGTTTTGGGTCTCTGCTGCTCATAGGGGGGAGAAGCGGAGGGACAACGAAAGGTTGTGCGTCCCTCAGCCTCCCTCTGACAGGTGGCGGGGAGCCCAAACAGCTGGAGAGCCTCCTGAAAAGATCCACAACAATATCCACTCTCAGTGTAGATGAATGCAAACGGAGAAATGCGGCGAAAAACAGAAAGCAATTTCCCTCTCGGGGATCAATGAAGCACATTCTATTCCGTTCTAGCTGTCCGTCATTCAGGGAAAATGCTGCAAACTAGTGGGGTAGAGTTTAAAAACATTAAAAGCAGCCTTAGTTGCAGACTGGCTTGCCAGCAGCCTTAAACCAGGCCATTATGAAAGAGGCACTGTGGTTAAAGTTGAAAAAAAAAAAAAGATCTGACATGCGACATGAAAGACTGGTGTCACTTCCTGTGAAAACATTGCCCATCAGTGAGACAAGCCTAGATAAACCACATTTCATGTGTCTATTACATATTTAACATTTGCATTTGTTAGAACGCATGTCCAATCCAACATACTTTGTTGGGATTTATGTGATTAAAGTAGCAAGAGGAGAGGGAGAATTAGAGCTTTGAAAAAACATCACCTCGCCGAGGGGATGTTTTTGTGGATCAAAATGTATTATTGTAGAGTGGTCCAGTCAAAGTCCGGGTCTAAATCAAGCTGAACATCAGTGGCATGACAATGTTTGCTGATGCTCTGCCTCTGATCTCATAACATACAGATAAAAAAAAAAGAAAATTAAATGTTAGAAACAAGGAATCCCTTTCTTTCAGCTTCAGAGGAGGAGTATCCCCACAGCATGATGCTCCCACCACCAATTTCCATCATGGAGATGATGTGGCGCAGCATTAGTTTCCCACTAAACCGATGCTGAACACATAAACTAATTGTCACACCTGGTCATGATATGGCACACAGTTAAAACCTTGTGTTGACACTTGCACTAATGTAAGCACGTATAGTGCCCCATAAAGCACGCTGAAATTAAACATTTGCGCGGTTTGTGTTGCCCTCCCTTTTCCTCGAGCGTTCAGCTGCTCCCTTTCAAAGGTTCTTAGCTCGCTGTCCGAAAAGTTTTTGTTCCGTTGTATAAAAAAAAAAAAAACATGACACACTTTTACTTTAAATTATCCAAAATAAAAGAGCGGTGAGTCCGACTGCGCCTGTTTCCGGAGCACTTCCGCTGTTTGCACCGAAATAAGGCACGTTGTCGCTTAAGGAACTGTTTCCATAGCGACGTCAGTACTGCTCATGGATTTTCGGGTACAGTGACTATTTTTGCTACTTTTTCAGTAAACGTCATACATTTGTGATATAAAAGGTAACCCAGGCCTCTTGAATTAGCTTCAGTGAAGTCAGTAGAGTTTTCCTTGGTGCGTATTAGCGGTAGAGCAGTAGTTAGCTACTTGTAGGTTAGCAGTAGGAAAACAAAACCCGCGAACCAAGTTAGAAGCTTGCTACTGGTAGCGTTAGCTGAATACACTTTTAAAAATCAATTTACTTCTAAATGAATGAAAATAAAATAATATGACGGGCGTTAATAAGTAATTATAATTCACTTTCTGAAATTGTCACCAAAAATATAAATATAGCTCAGCTATGCTCCAAAGCTGATGACTGAATTTAGTCCAGACACACAAAAGCTAAGTTGCTTTTTTTTTTTTCAAAGTAGATTTGTTGCCGCCATGTTTGTACTCATTCTTATGTTGTATGACCCAGTTATCCCCAAAGCTTCCATTGGCCTGCTTTTCTGGCTGCAAAGCAAGCCCCGATCATCACTCTTCCACCACTGTGCCTCACAGTGTCACTGGGGGGTGAAGGTGGCGACAGCTGAAAGAGTTCGCCCTGCAACTGGCGGGCTGTTGGTTCGGTCCAAAGAAGCCAACCCATCAAAACTCACGCTTTTCAAAGAGATTGCCACACCTGGTCATGCTAAGTTCAAAGCATGATACTTGAGTATGAGTCAGTAATAGTATTTGTATTGCCAGCTAGTGCTTACACCGTGTTCAAGACAATCCAGATTGTTTTTATGTGTCATTTCACAATGGTGGAAGAACCTAGCAACCACAACCATGCCTATTCTTCAAGAAACGTTTGACGACTCAGCTCTTCAGACTGCGCTGGGATTAAAGCGTTTGCCATATACGTAAACAGACAATCAATACGTTTAAATTATGCTCTCTATGTGAAGAACAGTCCGATATTGTTATATTTTTCAGTATCTGAAGATCTGTTCACGAATTGGAGACATGCCAACTTTGAAATTTGGTGAATCCTATAAATACCCTAGTGTCATCATTGGTCACCGCGCACACTCGGCCATTCAGAATCTGTCCGTGGTGACGCTTGTCTCCGGCGTCCTGTTCTGTTACGATTTCACAGCTTTGAGGCCTAATCTCCCATGCGGCCTGTCTCAGTTTGGACGGTGAGGTCTCACCCACACGCATCAGCTGCAGTGATAATGAGAGGCCTCACATGTGAAATGCCAGGCCTGGAATAGTTAGGTCTGTTTATAGCTGGACTGAACATCCAGCTTCGGCTGTACGTGTAGCAAGTGAGGGCATAACTTGCTGTGTGAACATGTGGATCTTGTGAGCTTACTCCCACTCATAAAGGAAGTGAGTTAGCAAGAGAGGGGTTGTATATAATGAGAGGGAACTCTGAGGTATTTAGAGATTTGGGGCCCATCATCTTCCAAAGCAGGACTGGTAATTCCAGGGTGTGTCCTCAGTGAAACATTCATGCTCAACGTCACCTTGTCTTCTTTTTTTAGGAGTTAAACTTTCTACAGAGGCCGTCTTCTTCCAACCCCCAAGCCAAGCTATTTCTGTTTTCACTGACATCGCCTGGATCCAGAGGCTATCATGGAGGCCAAACAGGAGTTTGCAAACATCCTGGAAAAGGTGTGGGCCAAGCTCCAGGGTCTTCCACAAGCAGCTCCACTGGAAAGCGGAGCCTTTTCCGTCCTCATACTCTTTATTTGTAAGTTATGTCTGTCATCTGTGCAACAGATTATACTTCTTAGGACAACACTTTGATTAATGTAACTGTTTCACAATCTGTCTATCTTCAGGGCAGCACAGCCAGGTGTTAGGTTTAGAGGAAATTCCTTTTCCACATAGGTCAGGGTTGCCCACATGCCCACAAAACTGAAGTTATCGTCTTTGGACCTAAAGAGGGACAATCTAGAGTCAACACACTGCTTCAATTATTACAGCTAGGAACAGCTAGTGACCAGACCAGACATTTAGGTGAAGTCATGGACCAGAACCTTCAGATCCACACAGAGACAGTTACAAATTCAGCCTTCCATTTCCAGGATTAAAGGCTATGTTTACATGTTTAGAGTTGCTTTTGAACCATAATAGAAGGAGCATTGACCAAAATATTTTAATGCAAATTAATATTTTAATGCACATTGACAAAATATAATGTCTCTTGTTAGTTGTCACAATTGTTGACTGCATGATGTTTTTATGTTTTCATGATGTAAAGCTCTAGGAACTCCACCATTTCTGAAATATGCTACACAGACAAACGTGACTGACCGATTGATGCATGTCCTATCCAATCTTTGCATAAAACAGACATGCCGGCAGCTTTAAATGTGAGCTTCTCCAATGACATGTGCCGACCTGATTTTTGCTCTCCGCCTCCTGTTTGTCATTGCAGTAACAGTCCTTTTCTTGATGCTGCTCTCCTGCTTTCACTGCTGCTGCTGCGGCAAACCAAAATACCAGGGCTCGAGAGTTCAGCCTTTGGAATCCGTCTGATCTGGTGAAAGAAAGCGGGACTTGTCTGCAGAATCCAAAGCCCATCACGCCCTCTACCTTTTTGGTCTGTTGCGCCACCACCATGACGGAAACTCTTGAATCAAGGCTACAGAAGAGGGGGGTATATCTTTTGAGTGTCACTGGTTTGCTTGGACCGATCGAGTGGGCGTTGAAATGGGGACGAACCAGAGGGACGACGGGACTTCACAGCTCTGTTGGGACGTTTCCAGTCACGAGCGATAAACTGCATCAGCATCCCGGGACGGGGAGACGTCGGAATCCACACAGATCTGCAGAGTGGCACGCCTCATGAAAAAGCATTACAGAGCAGGACAGTAAAGCACTGTGTGGCAACGTTTTGGGCATGAAAAGACTCAATAAAAGCTTCTTTGTGCTCCAGTTAAACAGATACCGAAGTGGTACAAGTGCAGTTCTTTTGTGCCCAGTCGACGTTCATTCATTGTACCGTGACTGTGAGAAATATGGAAAGGTTGCATTTTAGCATAAATTGGAAGTTAATGTGAAAAGGAGCAAATTTTTGTATATATACAAAAAAAAAAGACTGTGCGCCCTCTGCTGGCTTTGTAAGGACTTTTTTATTCTTTTGTACAAATTGTTCCACAAAAAAAGGAAAACTTGAGCTGTTTATTGTTTAACCTACTACATTTTTTGCATTGATAGAGGTAACAAAGATGCTGTCACAAGTGACGATTCTCCTATAAGTAATTGCAATAAATGTGTATGTTTCAATGATGTAAACTCTTGATTTGTCATATAGCAGCATGTAAAAAAACAAAAGTTTTTAAATGATGATAATATTAGAGCAATTGAATGTCAATTCTAATTTTAATGCGCAAGGGAACGACCGTGTTGCTATCAAAGAGGTGTTGTCCGGCCGCTGCCTGCGTATCTTATCACATTCCTCTTTTGTTTAAACATTACCCAGAAGCAGTTGTTTCTACTACGTCGCTCTCTGGAGCAGGAGCTGTTTGGATCTACGCAATGCCTCATCAAAGTCAAATTCAAAGCGGACTGGCA